CCTTGTATTCCCTGACTTCTTAAGTCTCTGTCCAAACAGGTGCAAACCCAGCATTTGGGGGAAGAATTAATGTCGCTAAAGAAGTAGTATTCAGAAATCCCAATGTTCCAACGATTTTCCTCCCCACTATGCACAATCACTCTGGGAGTGAGCAGTAGGGAGCTTTCTCATTTCCATCGATTGATAACAGTGTAGTAGCTTTCTTCTACAAAAACCTGGCATCCCCTTCATGAGAAATAAGTTGAGGGTTCACAACTGTCTGCTGGGAACTTAAGTCAGTCTTTTCTACTTTGGACTTAGGGCTGTGTGTGTGTGTGTGTGTGTGAGTGTGTGTGTGTGTGTGTGTGTGTGTGTGTGTGTGTGTGTGTGTGATATTTGTGTGTCACAAAACAAATCAGAATTTGTAGACTGCCCATTTGTTTCAATCTCATGAAAGTATATAAGAATCTACTAGTCAATACAACACATTACACCATTCTGATGATCACTTTGTCTGTTGCCACTATGGCAACCCCTTGTCTCTGGGAGTTAAGATGGCTGAGCAATGTCACTCCAGTATGCCACCTTCCCCAGGGAATCAGAGAAGTCTAGTTTAATGGCAGCATTAGTGGCTACTATAGAAGAGATGCTAGTTTAGATAACACATTGCTTAAAGCATTGATGACGGGAGTGTCCTCCCTGTTCTCCCAGGTTATAATTAGTGGGTGGCTGAGCAGGTCTTGCATAATGAAGTCACTCCAGCATTCTAATACCTTATCTTTGGATGTCTTCTATTTATAGTAATATAAGATGCATTTGCGAAAGAGGTGATTTTCAGGTTTCACTTGATAGAAAACAGTTTCATGTTTCGAGTGTTTATGTGGATCCTTGAGTAACATGGGACAAAACTTAAAGATAGAAATGTGAATGATAAAGAGGTTTGTGGGGCAGTGGTAGTGCACGCCTTTAATCCCAGCACTCGGGAGGCAGAGGCAGGCGGGTCTTTGTGAGTTCGAGGCCAGCCTGGTCTACAGAGCGAGTTCCAGGACAGGAACAAAGCTGCACAGAGAAACCCTGTCTCGTTAAACCAAAAAAAAAACAAAAAAAAAAAGAGGTTTGTGATGATTAATTTTACATGTCACCCTGCATAACCTAGAGGTGCTCAGAAGGCTGATAAAACATTATTTCTGTACAGACCTGTGAGGTTATTTCAACAAAATCTTAGTGGATTGAGTGAAGAAGCCCTAATCGCCACCAGCAAGGGCACCTCCCAATCCCATGGGGGCCTGCATAGACTGACAAAATGGAGGAAGGACACATTATATCTCTTCTTGGGCTCAGACATCCTTTGCTCTCAGGCCTTGGAACTCCAGGTTCTCAGGCATTAGATTCTGAAACTTACAAAAACAGTTTCTCTAGTTTCCATACCTGCAGCCACAGGCTGAATCCTATTATAGAAGCTCGGTGGAAGAGGGGACATAGCAGTAATCCACATTGGAAAGGTCTTGCTTCTAGAAGATGCTTGCAGAGATCCAGAGGAACCTGAGCAGAGCTGACAGATTGGGAGACAGGCCATCTACACAGCGCACATGAAAGCAGTATGTCAAAATTCATCTTGAAGTTCGTTCACTTGGAGGTTGTCAACATGGTAAGGAACTGAGGAAGTTGTGGAAAAGCAGATGGAAGACAATGAGGAATAGGTGGAAAAGATGTGACAGAAGTCCTGAAAAGTTCTAAAATTATACATGCCAGAGAGGGGGTTGACAGAACGCTGATTAATAAGTGAAATGACTGTGTAATATGACAACCTGGCGGAGGTGAACTTCATTCCCAGAATTCTCTTCTTTGCGCTGGGGGTGAGCTGTGAGGCTTGTGTGGTCTGGGAGGTAAGAATGGGGTAGCTGTCTCACCCTCCTCACGAGAGGTATGAGGCGTGAGGCGTCTGCAGCAGGAGTGTCCCTCAGTCCCTGCATCAGTTTCCGACATCAGGGGTGTGGGTTTACTTCCATCATAGAAGGGTTCAGCTTCTTTGGGACACCCAGCCTATCAAGATGGACATGGACCATGTTGACATGTTGATACTCCCATGCTCTATTTCATCCTTTTGAATTCTAGCTTGTTCTCCATTTCATGCACTTTCCATCCATCATCTTTTTTTATTTTATTTATTTATTTATTTTGGTTTTTCAAGACAGGGTTTCTCTGTAGCTTTGGAGCCTGTCCTGCACTAGCTCTGTAGACCAGGCTGGCCTTGAACTCACAGTCATCTGCCTCCCAAGTGCTAGGATTAAAGGCGTGCACCACCACCGCCCAGCAGTCTCTTCTACATACCATGCATTCCCTTTACAAGAGCAGTCAAAGCTTGAAGTCAGCCTGGACACACACACACACACACACACACACACACACACACACACACACACACATACACACACACACATACACACACACACACACTTCTGCTCCCTGATTTCAACTGCACACTACCTATATAATAGAGCAAATAATCTCACACACACATTTAGTGGCTTGATCTTGTGTAGACAAGTCCAGATGCTATGAGTTCATGAGTGTATCTGTTCTATCATTTCCAGAAGACACTGTTTCAGTCTGGTCCTCCCCAACCTCTGCCTCTTACAGTTTTTCTACCCTTTCTTCTGAGATGATCCCTGAGCCTTATGGAGATCAGTGTGACAATATGTCTTATTAGGGGCTTAACACTCCACAGCCACATTTTCTATGTTATGAATTTCTGTGTTACTTGCCATCCACTACACAAAGAAACCTTTTTGATAAGGTCTGAGAGTTGCACTAATCTATGGGTATAGAGATAAGAATTTAGAGGGCAGTTTGATGCTATGTCCATTTAGGAAAATAATAGTAGTAGGTTCAACCCTGGGGCCTATGAGCTTCTCCACCACGGATTCTTGGCCGATTTACAGAACTAGGCATGTGTTTCCTTCTGAGTAACAGGCCTTAAAGCCAATGGGAAGGTGATTGGTTGCCCCTATAACATCTGTACTGCTATTGCATCCATGGCCACGTCTTGCTTGAAGTGTTCATGGCTGAATAAGAGGGTTGGTGACCTCCCCACTGCCCACCAAAGCAATCTACATAGCACCTTTTGGTGATGCGAAAGCTAGCCAGCAGGCAGGAAACTTGGTGGTAGGTAACAACTTTATTTTTCCATGTCTTGAATCAAACTGTTTGGTGTCTTCAGCAATAGAGTCTTATCATCAAGTTCTTGTGCACAGCCAAGAGCAATGGAAATAGTCTCTATTAGGTGTCTCTAGGCCGCCCCTGACCAAAAACTTGGAAGGAAGTACCCCACACCTGGCACTGCCATTTGTTTTCTTATCTTAGCCATTCAGGCAGGGGCAAAATGAAATCTCAAGCAGTTCTTAATTTGCATTTCCCTGATAGTTAGGAATGTGCACACTTCTAAAAGAACTTCTTCTAAGAACTGTGTTTAGTTCCATAGCATACCTATTTGCAGGTTTGTTTGAATTCTTGGTGTTTAGGTTGTTTTGTTTTGTTTTTTGTATATTCTAGACACCAATCCTCTGTCAGATGCATAGCTGGCAAAGATTTCTTTTCCCCTGGTTTGTGTACTGCCTCTTCACTTGATTTATAGTTCACTTCCAGTACAGAGGCTTTTTACATTCACAAGGTTCCACTTGTCGATTGTCGGTCCCTGGGTGACTCATTGTCTTATTTAGAAAGTCTTTACCTGCCAATTTCCTCTAAAAGTTTCAGAGTTTCTTGTCAAACACCGAGATCTTTTACCAGTTTGCAATGGATTTGTGTTCAGGGTGAGAGAGAAGGAGAGAGTTTCACACTGCTATATGTAAGACCCACAGTTTTCCCAGCACTGTTTGTTAAAGATACTGTCATCTTTGTCAGAAACAAACTGAACAAAAACAGGTGCCTGTTGTGTGTGTCCTCAGTTCTAATTCTGACCACTGTGTCTGCCTTTGTGCACATATTGTGCTGTTTTTACTGTAGTATAACTTGGAATCAGGCACCTTCCATGTCTAACTCACTGCCCGCTCTCTCTCTTTACTATGTGCAGATCAGCGTGCTCTCTGTGCTTTCTGATTGCCAGACCGGCTCTGTGCTCCTGCTGCCGTGCCTTTCCCACCATGACAGGCTGCGTTCCTCCTGAACCGTAAGCTAAAATATCGGCCCCCTCCCAAGTCGCTGTTGGCATTTATCACAGCAACCGAAAAGTAAGTCATACAAGCTGCAAGCATAGAGCAAAGCCCTGCCACCTGAGCAGCTCCCTCTGACAGGTATTCACTAACTACTGGAGTAGGAGCACAAAGGGAAGGGCAGTGAAGAGCTGAAGGAAGCTGTGGGACGCACTGACTTTCAGTAATGTATCTAGAGGGACAGGAGAACTGAGAGGGAAACTCCCACTGCACATCGCCACTTAAGGAGAGAAGAGAAGATGGGGAAGACACCAGGTACAGCAGGAAGCTCACAATAGTGAGAAGATAATATTTATTTATAGGAAAAGTCTTGATCTCACCTTCAAAATAATTGAAGGCATTGATAGTAAACTGAACGTAACGAACATTGTATTGAAGCGAAAAAGCCCCAAATCAAAACATAGTTAAAGAGAAACAGGACAATTCATGTCAGAAAAGCTGGCTAGAACAAGCCAAGCTAAGGCCAGGCATTCATAAGTAAGAATAAGTCTCCGTGTATTTATTTGGGAGCTGGGTGGTGGGCCCCCAGAGAGTTAAAAAAAGAAAGAAAGCAAAAACAAAAACAACTACAACTGATGATTTACTTTCTTAACCTCTAAGTCCCATCTTCTCATTTTTGTGTGTATGTGTAGATATTTTCTGGGCTCTATGGAAGATATTTTATCTGAAAATATAGTAGATAATCAACTAAATATCAGGCCACTAGACTTGAAGCTGAGTGAATATGACCTGAAATAGAGCTGGGCAATTTGAGAAAAATCATGGGGAGTATTTAAAGAAAACAAATAGGAATACATAACTCACTAGAAGTAAAGAATTAGGTAAGTTTAATAGTAAATTGGAAAAAAAGAGAAGGGAAAAATTTGAAAACTAATAAACAGAAAAACAAACTGAAATAAAAGAAGAAAAAAGATAAAATAGAGTATATATTCCAATATTTCTATCATCAAAGTATTAAGAGGACAGAGAAAACAGGCAGATAAAGTATTTAAAGAGATAATTAATGAGAATTTTTGAAAATAAATAGTAAATTATCAACTCACAGTTCCATGAGCTGTGCCCAGTATAAACCAGAATACTGCAGAGACAATTATGCCATAGCCAGAATTCGGAACCAAATTTAAAGAGATCTTTAGAGCAGCCATACACCACATACTATGTGCCAAATACAAACTATTAAGTGAATTTTTACAAAAACAATGGTTATTTCTGCTGTACTCATTAGAGCAAGGAAAGGGAACCAACTTAGATGTTCAATAGATGAATGCACAATGAAAATGTGTTACATATATGCAATAGGACATTTTAAAATTTATTTATCTTTATGTGTATAAGCATTTTTTGTCTGTATGTTTTTAAGTGCATCATGTGCATGCGTAATGCTCATGGATGTCAGAGGACAGTGTTGAACCCCCTGTAACTGCAGTTACAGATAGTTATGAGTTTGCCATGTGGGTGATGGGAATTGAACCTATGTCCCTTTTGAGGGTAGTGAGTACTCTTAACCTTCAAGCCATCTTTCCAGCCCCTATACAGTGGAATTTATTCAAAAAGAAAGAAAAAATTTAAATAATAAAATTTCAGGTAAACTGATAGATCTGAAAAGCACAATATTAAAATGAGGTGACCCAAACTCAGAAAGACAAAAACTGAATGTTCTCATATGTGGCCTAGAAGTATATAAATTGATGTAAATATGTAAAGCCTAAAAAAACACAGAAAGGAGACCAAGAGAGAGCTGAAAAATAGGTGGTGTGGAAAGATTCGGGGAGGACACATGGGACATGAAGGGAAAAACTGGGGCAGTATGCAAGGAAGGATCAGTGTAGTTGAACCGGGGACAGTGAGGAAAGAGAAACACTGAAATATACTTCCTTGGGGAAAAAAACTGGAGACAGGAGAAGAGCTGCATGTTTAAATTGCCAAGAGGGGGCCTGGAGAAGTCACTCAGCACTGACTGCTTTTCCAGAAGACCTAGGTTCAATTCCCAGGACCCACATGGTGACTCACAAAGGTCTCTAACTCCAGAGTCAGGGGATCCAGTGCCCTCTTCTAGCCTCGATATGCACCACATGTACCTGCTGTACAGACTTACATACAGGCAAAACACCCATACATGGGTTAGAGAGATGGCTCAGTGGTTAAGAGCACTGACTGCTCTTCCAGAGGACCCGGGTTCATTTCCCAGCTCACAACTGTCTATACCTCCAAGATCTGACACTCCTCACACAGACTTACATACAGGCAAAACACCCATACACATAAAAAAGAAAAGATAAAAAACTGTAAAAAATAATTGCCAAAAGGGGAAACGATCAACCAATTTCATGTTTCTATATAGTGAAAGTATCCTTCATAAATGAATATGAAGTAAATACACCCTCAGATAGACCAAAGCTGATTGAGTTCATCACTGACAGACGCTGAAAGAAATGCTTGAGGCCAAAGGGAAGTGATATTAGGTGGACAGTCAGACAGATCTATATGAAATAATAATGAGAAAAGCAGAAAAGAGAAATAGCTTCACAAATCAGAGATATATTTTCACAGTCATCATGTACAACAGTTACACATTTCCACACATCAAAACATTACAGTGTTCAGCACATTTTGTAATAGGAGAAGCAAAATGTAAGACTATAGTATCACAGAGCATAGGAGAGGGATAGATGGAATTATGCAATTATTAATTTCTTATATGTATATTATTAACAGAGTAACATTATTTTTGTTTGTTTGCTCTCTTTTGTGTTTTGAGACTGTGTCTCACTTTATTGCCCTGGCTTGAAACTTTCTATGTAGATCAGGCTGGCATTGAACTCACAGAGATTGGCCTTCCTGTCTCCCACGTGCTGGGATTAAAGCAGTGGATCTCAACCTCCCTAATGCTGGGACCCTTTAATACAGTTCCTCATGCTGTGATGACCTCCAACCATAAAATTATTTTCGTTGCTACTTAGTAACTGTAACTTTGTTATTGTTATGAATCATAATGTAAATATCTGATATGCAGGATATCAGATATGTGACCCCTGTGAAATGGTCCTTTGACCCCAAAGAGGTTTTGAAGCCACAGGTTGAGAACCACTGGATTAAAGGCTGCATTGACACACCAGGCCACAGTTACTTTGAAGGTAGATGGTGATAATTAAAGATTTAAACTGAGGGCTGGTGAGATGGCTCAGCAGGTAGAGGCACTTCCCACGAACATCTGGAGACCCGAGTTTGATGCTGGGACCTAAACAAAGTAGAAAGAGAGAACTGATGCTACACAGTTGTCTTCTGACCTCCACCTATCCACTGTATCCTGTGTGTGGCTACATTCACACACATACACAATGACAATAAATCAAAATTTTAAAACGATGCAAATTGAGATTTCTAGAGCCATTATTCCGTTTAACACAAGAAAAATGTAGGAAGATAATCTAGAGGGTGAGTGGAAATATGAAAATGTCCAATGTAGACAAAAGAAGCCAAGAAACAGGGACTAGAGACATGAAGCCCATGACTCGTGGAGTGGATGGATGAAGTAAGTTTCTCACATGTGCTACTCCTGGTCAATTTGTCTTTGGAAATTTGCTTCTGCCACAGATAATGTTTTGTCATGAATTCAACCTAAAACTGCAAGGAAAACAGAGCTGGTAAGTAAAATGCCTACTGTAGTAAAATCATTTTGATACAACTAACATCGATTCCACCACAAATAATGATGAGCTGCTCCTCACACTCCCCATTCTGTCAACAGTTAAAACAGGAAGCAAGGTCTCCATTCCAGCACCGGTGTGTTTTTCTGTGCTCAAACTACAGTTCCAAGAGGGATTTTTGAAAAAACGTCATTGGAAGTGCAAAGGCTATTTGCACATTTAAGATCCATTTGACTGCCACTGAGGAGAGTCCACCTAATTTCAACTGTACTGAGCTAATTTGCAGGTTCCGGGTGAGCTGTTGTGAGAATCTGTAGAGTTCTAATAGAATTTTTAAAATGTCTTCAGAGAACTGAAAGTCAAATAAAATCACACACTCATGGATTCCTATGAACGTGTGGTGCCACCTATGTGGGTGAAGAGGAGCTTCAAAATCAAACCTGTATATTCCCATCAAAAGGCAGTATTAAAAAAGGCAGGCATGAGGTTAACCCACCACTCAGGAGATGAAGGCTGGAGGCTCAGATCAAGGCCATCCTCTGGCATAGATTAGAGGCCAGCCTGGGCTACAAGAACAATACTTGCTTTGAACCTCAGGTCAGTAAAAATTATTCCCTGCAAAGAGAATTTCATTCCTTTCATTAATAGACTTGCATTGAAAATACTGTTCAAAAATATGTGGACTTTCCAGCCCTCTTATTATATAGGTATTTACACAAAGTCTTCAGTTGTGCCTCTTGGCCCACAAAACTTAAAGTATTTACTAAAAGGCCTTTTGCAGAGCCTGTCAACCATGGGCTAAATGCAGCTTTTGTGATAGCTGCTACTGTGCACTTTGTTTTGGAACCACAGACATTCTACCTCAAACTGCCACCTCTATGAATCACCAGGAGAAGGCCAAGACATGTCAGGAATGGAAGTTGGAAGTTAATTCAGTTGCGAGGTTAGGCAATCATCATAGCTAACACCAATTAACACATGTAATATAGAATGTTTTGCTAAAGAAACTTTTTGTAGAGAAGTCCCCCATACCTACAGGCTGGCTTTCCCCAGCTCCAGTTACCCAGAGTCAGCCACAGACATGCAAATTTTCAGACACAGTAGTATGTTTTATTAGCTTTTATTGTAGTAGGATATAGTTGCTCTGTTTTATTATTAATTATGGTTAGTCTCTTACTGTGCCCAATTTATAAATGAAACTTTATTGTATATATGTATAAGAGTCTGTATATATATATATATATGACAACATATATACGTACATATATGTGTGTAGTGTCTGGCTTTAAGTATATCCTGGGCCTCTTGGTATACATCCTCCATGGATAAGGAAAGACTACCGTGCATATCCTCTTATAATTATGAAAATCTTATTAATTAGGTACTACTCCTTCCCATCTCATAGAAGCTGAGAAGTTATCAGAGGTGCCATTGATAGGTAAGTGATATAAGGGTGCACAAGACTTAACTTAGCAAAAGCCCATCAGATCTGGTGTCTGCAAACATCAGAAGACGCAAAGGAAAAAACGAGAACTGCTTAGCTGGGGATGAAGGTCAATGGTGGAGCACTAGCTGAGAACGCATGAGGCCTGAGTTCAACCTCCAGGACATGAACAAATCAACTGATAAATGGATGTTTAAGCCCTCCTTTCCCTGCAGAAAGAACAAAGGTGAGTCATGCACAGTGACCCAGGCTTGTCATTCCAGCACTTGGAAGGCAGAGGCATTATCAAAAGTTGGGATAATTCTCTGCTCCAAATCAAGGCCAACCTGGACTACAGGCTCAAGAAAATTTAAAAATTGGCTGGGTGTGGTGGTGCACGCCTTTAATCCCAGTACTTGGGAGGCAGATGGATCTGATTTCAAGGCCAGTCTGAGCTATATTGTAAGACCCTGTCTCACAACAAACAAACAAACTCAACAAAGAAAAACCTAATATAAAATCAACAACAAAAAGCTACAGGAACCGAGGAGTAAAGGTAGGTATTTGTGAGGGGTAAGAACGGGTAAATGCGGACATGTTGGGAGCTAGTGTACATGGGGAACATGACTACAAGATGACAGAACTGGTTGTGGTGCTTGGCGGTCCCCCCACCACCAAAAAAAATCCCATTTTATCAGCAATGGGGTGCCTTCCCACTCCAACCCTTTTAACAATGTCATTTAGAGCGTTCTGATGAATGCATGAACGGAAGTATTGTTTGTGAAAGTCTGGGGACATTTTATGATGCTGAAGTGTGCAAGGAAAAAAAATATCAGAGGCAGAATAGCTTACTAGTTCTAGGCCAGCCTGAGTGAGTTCCAGGCCAGTCAGGGCTACATTGGGAGACTTTGCTTTCAAAACAACCCTGCCCCCCTTAGCCCCCCACCTCCCGTGCGCGCGCAAAGAAACCAGTGGGAATAGAGGGGTGAGTCTGGAAAATCAGAGTGGTCCTCAGCAGGGAACATGAATATAATGCGTTTATACACACATGTATTTGTTTAATTTACCGTCAAAAGACAAAATGGTAGTGCATTTAGTCCTACATCATATGTCCACACATTAAACCCTGTTTGTACTAGCAGGGTTAGAAATGCAGTGGGCATTTTAAGAGATTATAAATAGCAATAAAAACAGAGCGATCAGAAAGCTGGTGCTCAAGGCGAGCGCCTCAGCCCCAGGATTCTGGCTGCTCCTCCTCTGCAGGACCTCGGGCCGTCCCCTCCGCCAATGACCGAGCCGGAGCAGCGGCCCAGGGGTGGGCTAAGATCTGCAGGAAAGCGCCCTGTCAACTTTGTAGTCCAGTCACCTACTTCGGTTGGTAGCAGCCACTGTGGCTTTAAATGGCCGGGGGATTTCGAATCGGGGAAGGCGGGAGGTCAGGCCGAGGGGCGCCCCCCGTCGCGGGGAGTCCCCGCCCGCCGCGTCCCCGGGCCCGAGCGCGGCCGCGCGGCTTTGTCTCCGGCGTCGCGCCCCGCACTTCCCCGTGCGCAGCCTGTAACCCGAGCTCCCATTTCCTGGTGGATTCTCTTAAAGCGGCCGCGGTCGCCGCGCAGAACAAAGGCCATTGTCTCGCTTCCTCCTGCGGCGCCGCGTCCTTCCCGGAAAGTCCCTTCCTAGACCGCAGTCCCTGGGTTGCATCGGCGCCCCGGGGAGCGCATAGAAAAGCCCCCACTGTGCATGGCCCAGGTTCCCCGGAGGTGCAGCCTGGGGAGGCGGGAGCGGGATGAACCAGGCTTGAGAGTCCTAGGGCCACGCTGCGAGGTTCCCCAAAGGCATCCTCCTCGGGGCGGCCCCGTGGGCACCCCGCGCCCCTCCCCCGCACGCCTTTTGATTTCCCCGCGGCCCGCAGTAACCCGAGCTTTTATTTCCTGGTGGCTCCTTTAAGAGGCAGAGCCCGGTGCTGGGAATTCACGTCAGTTTCTGCCCTGAAACTCTCAAGATCAATGAGCAGAGAGCTTTCTCAGTTCTGCCTTTCAGTTTCTCTCTTCCAGGAAGGAAAACATTCGAGAGAGAGAGAGAGAGGGAGGGAGCGAGCGAGCGCCGCGGGGAGGGCGGGGGCGGGCGCGCCGGCCGCGGGTGGGAGGAGACACGCGAGGCCGGCCGGCTGCGCCCCGGTCGCCGCGCCGCGACCCGCACACCCCACGCCGTGCTCGCCGGCTCCCACGCCCCCGCGCCGCGCGCCCGATCCGTGCGCTCCGAAGACCCCCCCACCCCCCGCCCCCGGGGCGGCCGCCGCTGGCGATGCTGCAAGAAACTTCTTAAATGACCGCGTCCCGCTGCCCCGCCGAGCGTTTCTGGGTTGGGGAGAGGAAAGGAAAGTGGAAAAAAACTGAGAACTTCCTGATCCCTCTCGCTGTGAGACATGTCTGAGACTCCTGCTCAGTGTAGCATTAAGGTAATGATTCGGTTCCCCTCCTTCCCCTTGGGCGATCGGAACCCCCTCGCCCCGGGGCTGCTGGTGCAGTTCCTAGGCTTGCGGGGAATTATTTGGGGCGCGAGGGAAAGAGATGCGGCTCGTGGCAGTGGCTGTACCCTTTAGCGTAACCTTGCTACACCCCTCCCGCCGAGCCCCGTCTGGGCTCCTGGGCCCCCCACCCCACCCCCTTTCTTTTTGACAATGTAATGCCGGTCTCAGTTGGTAGGAGGAACCCAGTTTGTCTTCAGATCTGTAGAACACCTCCGTAATTAGTGCGCTTAAAAATAAGAAAGGAAAAAGAAAAACCCCTTCTCCTTATTCCTACGCCCAACATGTGACTGAACTGTAACTTTTGTTCCCGAGGGGTGGTCTCCCTGGGGAAAAAGTTCTAGGGGCCCCACTAGGATGGTCTCTTTCTTTCTTTCAGGACTCTGGGTTGTAAAAAAAAAAAAATTTTTTTTTTTACCCCCGCCTCTCTTCTGATTGTGATTGCAAGCCCTAAGACAGTCTTGGTGTCAGCTTTTCCTGGGCATTGCATAAGAAAAAAAAAATTAAACCAAGGTGAATAAAGTTGCTGAATAGTTATTTTACTCTAGTGCATATGAAAGTTGAGCAATCTGAAAGTAGAAAACTCCTGTGATGCAGGGTGGAAGAGAAGTGACCAGGCAAAATGACCTTCTCTGACAGTGCATAGAGGGTGTTGAAAAGCTGCAGTCTCCCGGGTCCCTGGCCTCTTCTAAGTTCAGGAGGAGAATTTGCAAACAGCCCTTGCCTTCCAGGTAGTCGTGTGTGCACGAATATGTACAGTCTGTCTGTATGGGCTGCGGTGCTGTAGTTGGTTGCTTTAAAAAAGTTGTTGTGAAGTTTGCCACCATTGGGAGGCAGGATGATTTGTCTGTCTCCCCCAGTTATTTCTCCCATGCTGCATTTATTGGGTACTTTATTTCAAGGTTCCGCCAGTCACCAGGAGGCAAGCCTTTTCTGTTCCCTGTGCAAGGCTGAAGTTTCTGAAGTTTGCTTCTGGCCTGCCCTATTTACTGTGTGCTCCTTAGATGAATGTTGCAGAAACAACGAACATATAAGCTGTTTTCTTCTGTGGGGAGTTAGGAAAATCTTTCCTGTTTTAAGAGTGTTTCACCTAGGGTCTGTATGAGGGAAAGGAATTTTGTCACAATTGGCTTACTAGGTTTTCACAATTAGAATCAGACCTTAGTGTTTCTTATCAGGAACGATGGTCATGGGTTTGAAGTAAGGCCGAGGGGGACTCAAAAGGTGCATTTGGTGTCTTTGTTTCTGCCTCACAGAAGAGCCCAGAGGAACTTTTGGGCTTTTGTGTTTGTGCATATCTTGGGTAGGCTTTGGAGCAGGGCCTCACTAAAGAGTTTAGGATGCCGTGATAGTTCAAAAGCAGTTTCTTTTGCAATATAAATTAAATTGTTTTGTCGAAATCAGGAAAATCTTGCTGTATGGATAATGTAATTTATTTCACACTTCATAACAAAAACAGAGGTAGCTAAATGATAGGGCATTATCAGTAAATTGTATCTGGCTCGATGGCAATAAACCTGACAAGAGAAAAACCTGGACCAACTAGAGCACAATGGCTTTCGATTGAAAAAAAACAAAAAACAAAACCACAATGCAATCTATCCTGTGACTTCTGATACCACTTCTAAAGTGACTGCATTCCTGCTGCTCTGATGGGTTGTATGCTGGATTCAGGAGTGCCTCTACTGAACAGCAGGCTTGTTTCTTTGCACCCCAGTAGAAAGAAAAGCTAACACACATAGGGAACCAAGCCTCAACAAAACACGTTCTCAAATGTGATACGGAAGTTGGATGCCATTTGTGTTATCGGTTTTTTTTCCCTTATTGTCTTGGGTTGTTTATTTTTCATTTTTTTAACTTTGGTCCTGGGGATGGAGTCCAGAACCTTGTGTTATACAGGATAACTGAACTCTGCTCTTATACTGTAACCTAGCCCATCCATCCTTTCTGGGTGCCTCTTTTATTTTGTTTATCAGTGTGTAATGTGCCACTTAAATGTATTCTTCTTCACCACCTATGTAAGTGACATTTTTGTTTTGGATTGTGGTCCGTGGAGCTAGTCTGTGAATATTTGCCTAGGCTGTGGGTGTTTTTAGGTGTGTGTGCATGAAGACTATCTCTCCATGGAGTTGCTTGAGTTTATCATGTTCCGTAATAAACCACGGAGATCAAGGACCAGGATTAGTTCAGGTCATCTGAAAATGTTCCAGTGATGTGTGCTTCATTTAGTCCTTGGGATGTGGTACAGTGATGGCATGAGGAAAAAAAAATGTTCACAAGAAAGCACCAGGCGTGTTGCTTGCTTCTAGGGGCGTTCCTTGAGCCCAGAAAACAGCAAACTTTTCCTTGGCGTGGAGAGTGCATGTGAGTCTTTGAAGGATGAGCTGATGCTAAAGGCAGGAGGAGACTCTGACAAGATTTCTCTTCTCTCCTGAAACCTTCCCCATCTGCTCTCCTGCGGCACAAACAGCTGGTCAGCGGGCAGTAAATTCCTCAGCAGCTGGTGTGATGGAGGCCACAGGAGCCTGGCCAGAGGCAGCCACCACAGCAGGGAAGTACTTTGTTTACTTTTGAGCCCTTGTCTGTTCTGCTGGGAGAGACCAGAGTCAGATCTGGGTGGAGTTTCGAAGGTGAAAGTTTCTGAATTGGTCAATCAGTGACACCCATGTAAAGATCACTTGAGTGCAAGGTGGCTGTTGGGAGAGCTGAGAAGGCCTGTGTGTCTTCGCACTTAGGCACATCTTTCCTTTACCAGGAAAGACACTTTTTTTTTTCTTTTTCGGTTTTTCAAGACAGGGTTTCTCTGTGTAGCTTTGTGCCTTTCCTGGGACTCACTTGGTAGCCCAGGCTGGCCTCGAACTCACAGAGATCCGCCTGCCTCCCGAGTGCTGGGATTAAAGGCGTGCGCCACCACCGCCCGGCGAAAGACACTTTTTACAGTGAAAGAGAAGCTTCCCCTGCCAGGCCCGAGGTCCTCCAGGACAGCACCAAGCCTTGTCAGTTCCCTGGAACAGCCCCTCTTCGAGGAAGGCACTCTGCTCCCTTCCTCACCCCTTGGGCTTGGTGGATCATCTCACAAAGAAGTCACCCTCCTCCCCCAGAAGACCGAGTTAGTCACAGGACAAAGGAAAACAGGTTGGCTTTTCCACCATACGCCTTCACCTTCACGTCACCTGTTCAGTTTTAAATTCAGCTAAGTTACAGCAGAAAGTGGTTGTGGCCCAGCTGACACAGGCCTTTTGCAAGGCTTGGCACAGAACTTACATTGGCTGAGGTGATCCGGGACACCAAAGACTGGTGGCATAATGCCCTGGTCCTTCTTTTCCTGTTCTTTATCAGTTCCCATTCACGATGGGATGAAATTCTCATTTAAAATAAGTGTTTTGGAGAGACATCAGGCAGAGCTGGTGTTTAGATGTCTCATACTTCTTCGGGTTAACGAGGGTAATCTTGATGCCTTAGTTTCTCACCTGGCAGCTGGCGCAGACTCATTTCTGTCATGCTTGCCAACACCAAGTGAGGTATGGAGGAGGTGAGTGCCCCTTCCTCTCTGTCCATGCATCACCTCAGTTAATAAGGCTACCCAAGGGCCAGAACTCTGCCTGGTGTCTCTCCAAAAAATAAAAGGATTTTGATAAACTAATAATGTTTGATTATTTTGATAATCTCAGAAACTGCTTTGGTGTCTAAGCAAAGAACAAAAAAGGAATTGATGTGAGACTGTGGTCCACCCCTGTAATCACTTCACTTGGGAGACTGGAAAGAGGATCAGGAGTTCAAGGTCACCCTTGGCTACACAGTAAGTTAGAGGCCAACCTGGACTACATGAGACCCTGTCTAAAACAAAAAAAAACAAAATTAAAAATTAAAAAAGGAAGAATTTAGAAAGAGAACAAAAGTCTTGAGGGATCCTTATAGAGGCTCAGGTGGATAAGCAGGTTTGTTAGGCCCCCTGTTGCTCTGACAGTATCATCAGGGAATGTCGAGACATTTATCATTAAGTTGGAGTTGAGAGATCTTAGCCAGACCCTGGGCTACACATTTCTGTTTTCACAGTTGGGTTCTGAGAGCTAAGTGGTTGCTTTAGCATATGGATGACTGAACGCGGTTAAAACACAGGCCTACAGGGTCTCAGGCCACTACATCAGATTCTCCAGGTTCATGGTGTGTCTATAAAAGGCCAAGGAAATCTGATACAATAGGCTCTGGGCTCTGGCACTTCCTAGTGTGGTCCATTTTAATCACAAGCCAGCTGGTCTGAGGGCACGGAGCTATGTGCAATGGAAGATGATGTGTGTGGGAACACTGGGCTGCGAGGGTCTAGTCAGGTGTGAGAAAAGGAAGTGGTAGGAGGTAGGGATGAGGGAAGAAAGGCCTGCTGGATTTGGGTTTGCACCACAGTTTGCAAAGATACGTATGTGCTCTGACGGTGGCGTGTGAGAGTCAAGCAGCTCCACTGTTGGCTGCAGGCCACGCTGCCTGCTCTCACATCACCTCCTGATGAATCCATGGGTGAACCTCAGGCTTCTTCACCCAGAGTCAG